CATGTATTTTTGGATTTTTTTTTGGGGGGGGGGGGGGAATAGGGATGGGGGTGGGTGGGTTGGGTGGATGGGGGAACAGGAGCAGATATACACAATGAAGATGTAGCATCACAATTAATTTTAAAACAAAAAAAAAAAAAAATACAGGGATTACAATAAATCACTATTTTGTACTAAACTTTACTTTCAGCAAAATCGGGATCAAGAAAGGCCAAGTGGGGATATAAAAGAAGGACTCGGCATGGACTCCATGGTAACCTTTTGCTTAATATCAACTGAATGTCAGACATCCTCACACACTTTTTCCCCAGGTATACATCATAGCCACTTCATGCACTGAACAACACTTCATAAATAGTAATGTTCCACACACGTAATAGTCATTCTTTAGTACAACTGTTTACAAACTGTTAACTGTCCATAGTTTGGACCACGTCAAACTGAATGATAACATCAATGGAATTAAATGACAAAGCAATCATGCACAGTATTTCATAATACTAAAATGGCATGTTTAGACAGGAACGTTTTAGACTGGAAATCAGATCTACTTGTGTTATCAAGTGACAAGATAAGAAAGTTCACAATCTTAAACTTTTTCGCAATTTTCCTTCAAGTGGTAAGATTTAGTTATGCAATGTGTCAAAATGTGAACAAAAGAAAATCCCATCCAAGAAATATTATGACTTTCCTGATAACACACATAAGACCCATGATCTGTTAGAAACATTCCCAGTCTAAAGACTGTTTTAATGTAGGTATATTAGTACAGGTGGTATTCTTGAGTTCAATTTACTGATTCTTTTTTTATTTTGTTACCTTTTTATGGGGGAGGGGGTGTTATGGTAACTCTGTCTACTTTACTGTTAATGGGAAAGCCATGCAATACTGAGTAAACCTAATATGACAATGAAGAAACAATTCCTCCTCCCTTTTCTTGCTTTAACAAAGTTTTCTTCAGACAGTGCAATCATAAGATAATTTGTTTTCAAAACAATTCTCATTTCCAAATAAGGCAAAGGGAATAAATTGTCGAAACTACATGAATCTCATTTTCAGTATCTTTCCTTGTATGCCTAAAGTCTTCTAACCACCCAATATGTTTCTCAATTTTTTTACAATCTGGTATGCCTAATCCAGAATTAACTACCATCATCAGGCAGAACTCTGTCTTGATGATCAACAATAAAAAATTTCTAATAAATAATCAAACAAACAGAAATAAATTCATAATGCAGCTTAACATGTCCCACGTAAGTCACTAAGCTAATTGATTACAAAACTCGCGATATTCTGACAAAAAATAATGCCCTGAACACAACTATTTCTGAACAATCAACCATAAATGGATTTGACATTCTAAAACATCTGACTAAACTGATGACCTTTTCTAGTATATCCAAAGAAAGTGTCTAAAAAATACTTTTTGCACTCTACAAATATAACAAGAATAAATTCTAAACCATCTGTCATCCATCTTAAATATAATTGATTAACCTATAACAAAGGTTATAAGTCACATAGGAAGGTAGCATAATCACATGCAAACTAATTTTGGCACAGGCAGTCATTAAAAAGGTGCAAAATTATAAGGGTTTGGGATTGTTTATAAATAAATAAATACTGAATAAAATAGCCATCAAACATTCTGATGCATGTGAAGAATATCACTCTGCGGTGTATTTTCCTATGCAGCTGCTCCATTCTGTTAGTGTTGCATAAAATCTAACATTTCAAATTTCATAATTTGCTATGTCATGCCTAGAGACTAAGTGTCTCTTACCTTTAAAGCTTGTCTTGCCGGAATTCTTAGCAAGTTATTACAAAAGATCTGATTGGGCACTTCTGATAGCTGCCTGCTCTTTTGACCAATCAGATATGCCAATTAAAAAACAACTTCAACTTGAATTTCGCCATTAAACTGCAGCAACTCCAGTCCAGGTCTAACATCATATGTAGATTTAAAATTAATTTATTCACAAAAATTCCAAACCATGTGAAAAAAGACCATATACACATCTACTTTAAATCACTGAACATTGAGAACTCACTGACACAGAAACAGATGTACACTGGTGACAGGATCTTAAGGATATGTGATACTAAGAAGCATGTGTTATGTGACAAACAGCTAAAAAAGATTCAAATTTAATGGCTTTTTTTTATAATTATTCAACACACTTCTGCCCACACCATGGGTAACAGTATTATTTTCATTATGGTTGTATCCAAAATTCTTTCTTCAACTAATTTGCTTTGATTATATTTTGGCAAATTTCCTGAATGCTTCTTAAAAAATCCAAGCATTTGTGTCGGATAAATGAAGCGTGCAAAATTGAAGAGTCCAGCCAAATGAAATCTAAACAATTGAACCTTGTTTGACTGGTTGTAATAGCGACCGCCTGTACCAAGTGTTTAGTTTGCCTACTCTAAACCCCATGCAGTTTAGCAGAACATGCTAATCTTGAAATCTTGAGATATCACAAGGGTTCTTGAAACAGACCAATGGGAATTTCTTGGAAAGGACGAGAGGGCGGAAGACCAAACAGGTGTGGCTTGGAGGTGTCTTGAAATAGGGGTCGCCACTGTGTGACATCTTGAGTGGTTGATGGTGGAATTATGGGAAGGGGGTCTGAAAGGGATATTGAATATGGACATGAGACAGGGTCAAGAACACACACACTCATCCTCTTAGAATCACATATCCCATGCACCGTCTATGTCACTGACATCAATTGTAAACAAATTAAACAAATATCTTAATAAAACTGAGAAATTGACAATTAATAATTTAAATATACAGTTTTTTTTTTGTTGTAACAGTTGTAATTGCATTACTTTGGATTTATGGTAAAAATTCGTTTTTTTAAGAGAACTAGAATTCTTTTCTAATAAGACAAGCATATTTTACGTAGCTTATTGCTTCCCAATCCTGCCATTTCTGGACTATTTCAACAATACAGAAAAAGCACATTCAATGGTTTTTCTTTGAGACCAGCTCTAAGACTTGCATGCATTCGAATATCAATATCATTTTTTCTTGCAAATACAATCTTGGTGTGAAACTGCAGTAAAAAGTGGAAGGTGCTCTTATTTTGTCATTTCATGAACAAGCACAAACAGTTAAATTTACTAGGTATAATCACACAGATAACCCACAGGAAAACATTGGTAAAATAACAACAATCCCTTTGTCTTAATACTGCTCAGGCTACCAATACAAACTGAATGTACTCAAATATTTTGCTGGAAATAAATTATGGCAACTGCTTTGGTATGTATTAACATGGTGCTTGTATCAAAACTTTACATAAGATATTACGTTGAACCACATTTTCAGTTCTATCTCTTAAAATACTGATATGGTATGGACTTTTTTCCTAAAATTCATTAAGAAGTTAGGTTTTATCATCCCCAGAGCCACTGTTAAATTTGTCATTTTCATTATCATCATCAATATGATCATCAGTTGTCCCGCTATTCTGTCCCAAAACATCAATTTCAGCATCTGTCTCCTCATCATTACTACTGCCATCTGTACCCTCTAACACAGGATCTGGCTCCTCATTGCTACCACTGCCATCTATATTTATGACATCCTCCTCTCTGTCTTCTACAAGATCATTCCCACTTTGAATGTCAATAATATGATCTCTTTTTTTATCTTCCCCAGAATATCTCTCAATGTAAATATCTTTCTCCTTGTCCTTGGTCTCAAGCACTTGAGAATATTTTTGTAAAGATTGATTAGTCTCTTTATTGTCTTTCTTGAATGTGGACAGGGGTTTGTTTGTTATGTGTGAGGAATTGAAAGAGTTTTGAGCTGGGTCAGTTGGCATTGGGGTAGAAAGGTATGTCTGTGAAGTCAGTTTTGTATCATCCAGTATCTCAGGTTGCTTTTGAGTTATTGAGGCAATATGATCGGATTTCTTTTGCATATTACCAACGTCTTCAACACTGCCCTTCCTAATGGAATTCTTTCCTTCCTCCTTTGAGATAAGAGTCTCAGTGTTTTTCATTAAAAAGTCACATTTTTCACACGCCAAGTAGTTTCCCACCACCCCACATTTGCAAAAACCTTCTAACACATTATACCACTGCTTACAGTAGTGTTTTATCACCTGTGTGGGAGGGAGAAAAGAGGGGTTAGTATGGAGCTCACCTGAGTAAGTGCAATCTTCGCCACTTTCCAAGCAGAACCGTTCTTGCATACGTATCGTTGGCTCCTGGAGAGCACTGTCCACAGGAATGCTGGCCCTGCACATGAACTGGAATCGTTGCTGGATGTAGCCACCATTGGTTATGTTACGAATCACCCATCCCGTCCAGGCACTGGACTTACGGATTTCTGCAGAGATAGAGGAAAAACTTAGAGAAAGGCATCTTTATTTTTAAATCGAATCCATAGTTGGCTAATATTTAAATATATTTCATCATTCAGAATAAAATTTACTGAATAATATCTCAAAGATATTAAAATCATGCCTTATTTCACAATCATGACTTCAATCAAATTTTCAAATATTATACTTGGGAAGGCATGCCAAAACTACCAGAAAGCTAATAGATAGCAACTTACAAAAATTCCTTGCAATACATTATTATCCAAACAAAATCTGCTAACTCACCATTGCAAGTACCACTATTACATGTCCTCCATTGTTCATTATTGCCATCACAATGGACACCGCCATTTTGTGGAGGTGGGTTGGTACAGGAACGATAACGCCTCTGGAAACCACCACCGCATTCTGCAGTGCAGGCCTCCCATTCTGTCCAGCGAGTCCATCCCCCATCTAAAGGAATTTTTGTTGGGACTGAAAAAAGGGGAGAAACCATGAACATGAAAGCATCGTTTATGCACAGTAATAAAGGCTGTGATAGCCTCAACTGAATCAAACTGCATCTGATTTAAAAATATCTTTGTAAACATCACAATATTGGATCATGTTGAATCCACAGCACAGTCAATAAATCAACTCCATAGATTCCAATCAATCCAACAAACCACCTTTTTTGCTGGAAAAAGGTCCGCTCTGGGTAAAATTTGACCTAGGTGCAAAGATTCATGGTTTAAGGTCCACTTTATCAGAACTAGAACCCCTCTCTTTGCAAATTCTGGCTAAGGACCTATTACTTATGTATTGTCTGCTTACCTGGACATGGTGGATTATTTACACAATTCTCATCAATCCTTTCCTGGCCAATACACACACGTCCACCAAACTGGGGTGCTGGATTGCTGCATGACCGCATACGTGAACGCATGGCTGTACCACACGACTGCGAGCACGCAGTCCATGGGGACCATGGTGTCCATCCTCCGTGAGCTGAAATCAAAATAACACAATTATAAATAAAGTATCCAATTTATGATGATGCCTTCAGTTTATTTTCCTCTGCCAACTTTGGAGATAACATTTTCAACCACCTTAGTTTGTCTTTTTATGAATGTAAAAAATTTTTCAAAACTAAAATCAGATGTTACTACTTCATATCTACCAAACAAATACAAGCTTCAAGGCAAATCAAATCATAAGGAATCTGTGATGGAATCTCAATTTGATTTAAAATAGGTTTCTTACTTGTACAGTTAGTCACTTGTATACTAGATCCAGGGCAGTCTCGCCCCCCAAACATGGGCGCTGGCTTGTCACATGACCTACTCCTGCACTGGCATTGGTCACCTGAGCTATACTCTCCAACCTGACCACATCTGGACCACGCTGTCCATTCAGACCACTCTCCATTAACTGAGGACAGGAGACATTTTAATTTCAGGTGAACAATAATAGTATAACCTTTGGGAAATTCTCAAAATATCCACTTCACATATTCAGTATTCACATTTATATTCAGTATTCAAGAAATAGAAGAAAACAAATATATTGTATTTCAACAAACCTCCAGTTAAAACAGACTTATGAAATCTCTCCTGATTTTCTGACCGTGAACTTACTTGGATCATTCATAATAGGACACTGGTTGATCGGTCTCTGGTGCCAGAAGTGAGCGCGGGTGTTTCCCCGAGGCGGCGGACTGCATTGGTTGTGTTTACTGCTCCAGCCACAGTAGGGGTCCATAGACCGCGTGCAAGTTCTGGACATAAAACATAAATCATTATGTATATATAATAATAATAAATAATTTTGGGTTAAAATTGAGTCATTTGCCATTTCCCCTTGTTAGATGGTTGGCATTTTCATCGTTGTCTGCAACACGTGAGAGTCATAAACTCAGAGGACATGTTCAGGGGTGGAGGGAGGCTGTCTTCTGGGTCTCTTTGAAGACAGTGAAGAATTTTTCAAAAATGGGCATTTTATTTATTTATTTATTTATTTATTTATTTGTCAGAGGATGGTCAAAAATGGAAGATGGATTAACAAAGATAATTTGGAAGACTGTTAGAAAATATTTCTGGATCTGTCCCTTATGTTCATAGAAATATTATATTTTTATGAATAACCTTAATAAACAAAATGATAATGGTAGCCCTTATTATACTAAATTGAAATGGATGTTTTTGGATGATAGAACTGTAAATTAATACTTTTTAGGGAGTCAATTTGAGACAAAATCTAACCTAAGAATATATCAATCATATTTCCTTTATTTAAAAATCTATAACATTTACCTGTAACTTCAATACAAACATACCTTCTTGATTTGAACCTGTGACATCTGTGGACTTGAATTTTGATTATTTCTTGACTGGTAGATATATAAATATTGCCCTGAAAGTATGAATAGATGTAGAAATAACAGATGCCAAATAGGTACTTAATTTAATTTCAAAGACTACGAAGAATACAATAATTAATTACTGATTACCCCACTTGAATTCTGTTGAGAAAAATGCATCACTCATTCAAATATTTCAAAACTTGAAAATATTCAGCTCCACTTGGATTTCATACAAATATAAAAAATCTGGTCCCCTTACATTATACAATTCCATCTTGTAAACAGGGCGATTCTGTCCCTTAGGGAAAATATTAATCTCTTCTAAAACACACGCCTCAGTGCTGTTTGGCAAATGGACAATTTTCTTTAACACTCCTTCCATGTTTACCACAAACATCACTTGGAACTGGGTCCTGTGTTTGGAGTGTACTGTGTCTACCACAATGTGGCTCCACCTATATATCAGGAATTATACTATTCAATAGTTGTTGAAAAAGTTGTTTCTATTTTTTTCCCAAAACAAATCCATATTCTAAAATATCATATAATCACAATGAAAATTAACCAAATTAAATGAAATGGTGACAAAAAAGTCATTGAGAGTGACTGTGGAGAAATAACTGGTCTGAGTCAAAGATTCTTAAGCATTATAGAAAGTAATAAGTATAGAAATGTAGACAGCTCTGTTGCTACCTTTCATTGGCAGCAGTGGCAAAGGGGTGCAGAGTAACTGGCTGAACAGCGCTGTCCATCATTTGGTACTTCTGTGCATTGCCAATGTCAGTCTGTGACATTCCTGCTTCTCGTTCCTTGTTTGACTGACACTGTAAAAGAAAATTTCATTTTTCATAAAATGAATAAAAGATGTCATAAAGGCATGATATTACATTTTTTAATATGCAAAGCATGAAATGTGCTAAAATACAATCACAACTTTTTAAAACTTCCTGAACAGTTGATAAATTCAGAAAATAAAGAAAAAAATGTACTTATTGGCAATATTTCAGCCCTCCTCCACAGTTTAGGAAATCATATTATAACAATAATAATAATACTACTAAATCCCAGCACTGACCCTGTAATTAGGGAATGGGTTTTCATGCTGCACCCAAGCATGCTTAGAGCTTTCTTGGTACTTAAATGGACCTTCGAAGGCCTTCTGGAATGCTGTCATATTATATACACACACTGCCGAACCATACATACTGCTCCTGTAAAATACAAATACAGTAATTACATAAGAAACTCAAACAGTACTTATACAACACATAACATCTAAATAAACTTTTTAAAATTGTAATAAGTGTGCTATTTCTTCAATAAACTTTTTAAAATAATGAAATTGATTAGAAATACTGCATTTACTTAATAAATTTCAATAAAATTGATAAGAAATGCAGTAATTATTCAATAAACTCAACCAGATTTTAATCAAACAGTTTTCTTCAACCATTGTTTTGTTGAGGACACCTTTACAACTAAGTAATTGTGGCAAAAAAAGCCATCAGCATTAAACAAATAAATGAGCAAATCAGTCTTTAAAAAGATTTATCCTAACAGAATTATTTTCAGATATTCTTTTAAATCAAACATAGCCTGTGTGATACGTTCACATTATGTTACAGACATCTAAATGCCCAGTTAATTTATCAACTGTTAACACTTTGCATAGCTGAATCATTTATATGTTTTAAGGTTGCCTTCAGAACAGTGGACTGACTACTATGTGGGTCAAATATGGCAACCCACTAAAAAACCTGGCATCTAATCCGCTAATAGACACTGGACAGGTTCCACGTGGGGAAGTATTCAAGTGGGCCGGCCATATTTGATCCTGGGACCAGTTAGTCTACTGCTCTGAATGTGGCCTAAGACAGCCATTATGTGAACAGACTTCACACACTAAGTCCCAGATGTCACCAAAGCTCCCATGATTCATGTGACACCAGGTGCGCAGTGACATGAACCCTTGTCACCAGCTGATGTGAGAAAATGTCAACCATTCTAAAATGTCAACTTCTGAGGTGACTGATGCAGCACACTAAAACTGGTTGCAAATCGTCGCATATAGAAAGGCGTGTGTGTGTGTGTGTGGGGGGGGTTAGGGGGTGGCAAGGGATGGGTGGGTCGATGGTAAGGTGGGTTCCCCCCCCCTTCAATTGGGGATTGATGGATGGGTGGTCAGGAGGGTAAATTGGGCAGATCCCCTCAAAGAATGGGGTGAGTGGGGTAGATAGGTGGGTGGGTTGGGGGTACTCCTCCCCTTTTAAAGTCACACACATTATTGATGACTTACACAGGGGTTGTGAAGACCATGTACACCAGTTCCTGCTCCTGGAGATAATATGTGCTCTGGAGCTCGATTGTAATAGAATGGATAGTCCCCAGGCATGGAACAGTTCAAGCGAGCCTTTTGGAAAGTTGTCCAGTTATCCTTCCATAAAAATTTCCCTCCTTTGTCATTCTTGCACACTTTTGCCACTCGTGGGTAGATGCTCTGTAAGACAAGATGGGAAAATAAGTTTTGTGAACAAAGTTTTCATTTCTTCAAGAAATAGTTAATTAAAAGTAAGTTAACAATTTTCATACAGAATTCATTGACTTTCCTCAATAAAGAGCAGTGACAAAATATGGTTCAATCACCATAATCATATCAATAGCAGATTAATGGTGTCAGAACGATTTTATACCTTCCCACAGTTAATATATTCTGCTGCGGTTTCTCGGAAGAAGAAAAATACCAACTCTCCTATCTCATAAGATGACACAAACACTGGCTCTGTGGAAAAAAATGATATTATTTTTAAATATTTATTTCAAAATCCTGATTCATGAAGAATAAATTACAACTTAAAGCATTAATATATAGCTAGAGGTATACAGCAAAATAGACATCATGGATATTGCTAAAAAGTTTTGAATTCAATAACATTTATTACAAACAAAAATGAAATCAATGAGTAAACACAAATATTCTTGAATAATGTGAACTGAATTTGTAAAATTTTGAAAGTGACATTTTGAAAGTGAAATCACACAACCATCCATTTCGACAAACCATACCATTGAGCCATTTTGAGTTATATTGCACGGTGCGAAGAACAGGTGAAGGTCCTGTATTGCGATAAATTGCAACATCACGGGCAGCAAAATCCATCACGGAGGCAGCGTAGACATCACCTTCAGATGTCATTAACGTGGTGGCGTTGTGGTGAGGATTGTAGGGGCACTTAGAGGCGCCATCTTCAGTCCTGGTCACCTCGCCCAAGTTGGTTAGCTGCAACAGTAAATATACAGACTTAAATGTAAACTGGTTAAGATGTTTTTTTATTGAGATATGAAAAGTGCAGTGGTGTTTACATTTATGTCCTTCCCTGCTTTATGTTCTCAGAGAAAGAAACTTACAAATAGGACAATATTTTTTTTAATTGTACATAAATGTAGTATATAAATTCAACTTGAATTCTAAACTACTTTCCAATATATCATATCTTCACTTAAATGTAAAAAATTCTAATCTATTTAAATAACCCAAATGCAATTCATATTAATAATTAATCTGTTGCAGATCATTTTCACATCTGTTTAGCCTCGGGGATAACCACACTGTTCATGCCTCTTCCCGTTACAAAAAACATTAACCCATCATTAGAAGTGATTAAAACGGTCGTGCATACTAATAAAAGTGGGCATTATGAATTAAACTCATATAAAAATTGGATTGGTACCTTTTGCGTGTGCCCCAGACATTTGAATTATGGTAAGTTAACGAAGCAGGACAACTCATGGTGGGATAATAAAGAGTGGGATAGCAAAGAGTGGGACAACATGGAGTGGGACAACACAGAAATGATCAGAGATGTGTAATAGCAAAACAAAAAGGGATTAATTATCCTAATCTCTCCAAACTTTAGGTATCTCACAAAAGAATACAATATATGCTTACTGCATAATTATAAAAATTGTGAAGTCACTATTGAAAAGTGACTTATGTGTTTTTAACAAATAAAAGTATAAAAAAATCACCAGATCTGTAAATCTTTTTTTGGGGGGGGTGAAAAGCAAACCCAGACAGTTGAACCCCAATTTTTCAAATTGTTTTCAGACTACAAAATTCCCCATGGGATTTTTGCCTACACAAGTTTTTAAACAAATTATATTAGTCTGCACTGGTAAAAAGAAAACAAGCCTCGATGCCAAGGGCACCAATATCTGAAATTTAATTGTTTCTCTCCTGCTGCCACTGGCAACAAAAATAGAAGCTCCAATTGTCGCTTCTATTTAATTTGTTATTGTTGTTATCCATTCTTTCTGCAATTGTCTCTTCTATTTAATTTGTTATTGCTGTTATCCATTCTTATCTTTGTCCTTAGAAAAGCTACAAATGTTCCCACGTCCTCTTTTCAATCATTCAGCAAAATACATTTCATAAAATCGTTGTTAAAAAATTTCAAATTCTTAATAGTTTTTTAAATGTAAAATCCACATACATTTGTATTTAAATCAAGTTTTTTTTAGTAATCAATTAACAAAAGTGTATTCTATCGTGTCTAGCATATGCTGGTCATTGAATTTAAGGATAATAGATTTAGTATATTCTCTGAGAGGAAGACTCTGAATAACATTTCATGGACAAAAAGGCAAAAACATAATTTTATGTTTTCCACTTTTCTTCAGTTCACTTCAGATCCAAACAATCAAACTGCATGGGCATTTGAGGTCGTGTTTTGAAAACTTAAATCCATCCTCAGCAAGTGTTTTCCATTTATCTTTTCAAATCAAATGTCAGTGAGCTGTTTGGGCTAGGAAAGAAAACCAAGTGACATTCTCATCCAAGTGTTTTCAATGACTCTGTCCTACAGGGGGTCAAATGGTTTCTAAGTCCATTTTTATTGGAACCAAATGACATCTTTTTTCTTTTTAAAAATGCCATGAAAAGAGTGCAATGCAAGAAATTTACTCTCTGTGGTGGTTGAAAAGAAAGTGACCAAAATGTGTCTTTAAGAGTTGCTACTTTCTCTTCTAGGAAAACTGAGGAACTGTTTTACAATCACTTTGTATTGGAGCCAAATGCTTTCTCCTTTGATGGAAGGAGGCCAAAAATTAAGGCTTTGGACAATTATCTAAAAAAGACAAGTCTGCATGGTGCAAGGTTGGAAGCAAACGCTGAAAGCTACAAATTGCCCTGTTCTTTGGACCGTCAGCTCCGATTCCATGTCCTGCTGCTTTTCTGTGCTCCAATTTTCCATCCAGGGTTCCCAGACATGACAAATGAGGTTTTTGTCTGTGATTTATTATCTGCATAATGCTAACTTTGTTTTTCAAGCATGATGTATGGTCTCTTTAGTATGACTGAGAACATCTTGAGAAGTGGCAATAAATTCACTTCCAGTGGAAAAAAGAGGATGAAGAAGTCATTGCCACCTGCTGCTAAGCTTCACTGCTGCCATAACTATGACAGTTCTGTACTGTTTCATATATTCTTATGCAGATCTCTCATCTTTTTTTTCATGGTGCACAGTTCTACATATCAACAGTGCATGTGTGGAGGGTGCAAATAAAGGATGCATATGCACATGCATCCAATCAGCTTATTCCAGCACCTCCGCAATGAAAAATAAGAACCATTTAAAGAACACCCTATTTTCAAATGACAAAATAAAAAGGAGAAATGGAAAATTCCTATTTGTAATTACCCAAGGGCATTGCAGTCTGCAAAAGATATTCCCTCATACAACAAGTTTGAACTTAATAAACAGTTGCTTCCAATAAAAAAACTCTTCAGTTGACCAAAGACCAACAACTGTTCCCAATAATCTTTTCAGAGCATTTTTTAATTACAGATAAAACATGTTTCTCTTCAAAGGGATTCAACCTATCATTTGCTAGCAAAAATATCATGTGACAACAAAAAAAGCTCTCCAGAATAATCCTCTGCAGGGGGAGGCGAGGGGGGGGGAGAAATATACACATTTCTCTGAATATTCACCAACTTACATTGGATGTATCTCTGAAATTGTGACTTCTGGTAAAAGCTTCATCATTGTGGCTTTTGTGTTGCAGAATTTTAAAATAAAAAAATATCCACAGAAACATATGTGCCTAAAGCAGTCTTTTTGTAAGATGAGCTTAACCTGCAGGTTGTGAACTCTGAAGAGGATCAGTGACAGGAAATTGGAAGAAACAGAAAACAAAAAATCCTGAGGCATACCCTCTACCATCAAAAGCATCTGGGGTTTGGAAAAAAGAACCGCCTGTAAAATGGATCATTGCACAAAATAGTCAGTTTGGAGCTAGTTGGTTTGGGAGTGATCAAGAAACTGTCCCATAAATTACTAGGATTGAGAGGCACATTTTCTTTGAAGTTTCTTGCTGCTACTATATATAGGGGCTATCATTTTTTTTCTTTAAAACAGCTGTGGCTGTCCTTCAAGGAACTTTGGAGCACTGTCATCACTGTGTTTTCATCAGCATGTGTGTAACTGGGGGGAGGGGGGGGGTCCAAGAGCCACTCTTAATTAAACTTCAATACCAGTTTTATGGCATTTCAAAAGTTGAATCAACAAAGGGGAAAAGAGATCTGATTTTATTAAACCACCCCCTCCCCTTAGAAATTGCTGGGTGCAGATCAGATATTTTCTTTGAAACAGCTTTGAAAAAGGCACAAAAAAGAACAGAAACAATGCTTCCTAGATTCTAATTTTTCTAAAACACCAAGTGGATTAAAATGTCATTCAAATGTATGTTAAATCCTCAAGAGACGTCTATAGTCCTTAGACGTCTATAGTCCTTAGACATCTATAGTCCTTAGACGTCTATAGTCCTTAGACGTCTATAGTCCTTGCACTTAGTGACATAATCCATTTCAAAAGATTCTGTTTTAAAATTCAAACCAGGTAGCCCCAGAACTCCAGTCAATCTAGAGCCTGCTAAGGTTACCAAAAGCTGGCTTTTAGCCTGTGCTTTGCAGAAATCAGCTCCAAATGCTGTTTATTGTTGTAAAGCTAATCACGTCTGCCCTTTAAAAGGAAAATGTAATAAAACAGGGGAGGATTTTATGAGGCGTTGCAGTTTATTAGGGTTAGTTATGGTTGATGCTGCTTCGAGGCATAATGTTTAAAACCAGGGCAAAGCAAAGGAGAATAGGGGACAGATGTCGCTGTTTTTATCTGATTTTCGTACTTTGAACCTTCTTTTCTTTCCCTTTCTTTTGGAATCTAATTTTCTAAGTTTGTGTGTATTTTAAATCTGTATCCTCTACTGTTTCTTTGGAAGTTCTTCTACAAACAGACATGCTTGTTTGAAAGTCTTGAAAAACACTGATTTTTTCGTCTTTCCAAAATAAGCAGAAAAAAAATTCAAGGGAGCAGCACTTTTTATGACCTACCTGTCTTACTGAACACTTTGGTGAAAAAGCATTGGTGCCACATGCAAACAACTGGTCCCCATGACGTAGCAATACTTTGATAAAGTTATGGCAGTTTTCCTGAAAACAAAACAAGAAAGGAACAATGAATAAATGCTTGTTTTTCTCGCATCTGCTTTCACTGATAGCAAGTGATTTCAGTCTTTGTTTTATTTACTCTACACCAGGAGTTTTTTCAGTTGCTTGTTCAATCTTTTATCAAGTCACAGTGAAAACTTAAAACTTGAAATTCAGCCAGTTAAATTGCTTTTTTTAAAAGAAGATTCAGCTGCTGAAATATACACGACTCTTTCCACCTGTTTTAGTGGAATGAATGGTTTTCTCTTCGAGTAAGACAAGAAGATTTTTATGATGTGATGAGGTGTTGTCATACTACCTCTGACTGTCCCTTGGCCATACAAAGTCCCCTGGTCTCATTTTTAGTGCCCCATTTCGCCACCTCCAGGGCGTCTAAGCTATCTAACGATAATCTCAAAATATGGTTTCTGAAATTAAAATAAAAATTTTTGTAATATAATACAAAAGTGGAAATAAATAAAATATTTTCACCAAAATAAATAAAATATTTTCATCAAAGTCTCTAAAATATAGAACTGTTGTCTGGTTTTCTGATGTCATTATTAGACTATATTCACATACACAGTGAGGAGATCACACAATGTTAACTTACAGTTATTCATGGGCAAAAACAAAACTCTCAAAATTAAGTAGTACTGTAATGTTTGTGGGAAGCTTCGATAGTTTCACAGGAAAAAGTGTCACAAGTTTTTCTGTCTATCTCCACACTCTCTTGCTCTCACTCTCTCTCTCTCTTTCTCTGCTTACCGTGCCCCAGCTATCAGTTGTCTTCTGGGGATATCTAATGTTAATTCCATATATTCTTTGATCTCGTTGTTTCTGTAGGTTCTGTAGCTGGCAGAACTTGACTGTAAATCTGGAATAAGAAATTGATAATAGAGAATACATTCAATATATCTCACAATTTACAAAGCAGCATGGTGCAGCATTTTGGCTGATTGCAAATACAAGCAAAATTGGCTAAAATAAATGTGGTTTTAATTGTCTTTTCTTAGACTTATTTTAGCATGGTGAACGATGATGGTGGTTAGTTGTTCTCTATCAGTCTGTCTAATAGTTGTAAATGTTTCCACATCAATGTCATACTGTTTCCACAATATGGCAAAAATGCAGACATATTGTTATTTTTTCCCCTTTGCTTTGAGATGAAGTTAAAGTGAGACAGTTAAACATTTTTTTGGTTAAAAAATTGATGTTTTCATGGGTGCAAGTTCACATTTACAGAAGAAAAGATGATGAAGACTCATTATTTATTAAGAGGTCATAAATAGTGCTTTCTCTGTTATATGGGGAAACATTAGATGTCTTCCTAACGAAGAAAGTAATCTTAGAATAGCACTTATAATGCAGTTATTTTTTCTCCCTGTCAGATGGAAGGGCAATGTTTTATTTTTCCTCATTTATAACTTGGGGTTTTTTCAAAACTGGCAGTATTAAAAACCTCTCTTGTCAGTGACAGATTATAGAAAGAGTAGAAGTTACGACAAAATGATTGATCTTGGTTTCAAATTTTGCTCAAATTGCCCAGCATCTCTCTTTTGTTGTGTTCGTTTTGACTAGCCAAGGATGAAATGCTATCATATAATGTGTAGCAAGCTTGTAGAAAGGATCTCTGTAGTCTCATTCACATGGCCGAGCACCTCCTACTTGCTGTTCTCATTCGAGGTGTTCACACAGAACTCATTAAATGTTGATTGCACAACAGCATGCTGTGGTCAAGCAATCAACTTTTAACTTCTCGCAATCAAAACTGACCAACATACTCAAATAAATCTTACAGCTTATCTAGTGCATTACACTCATGTGGTTGAAAATGAAGTTGATTGCATTACATCATGCTTGGTCCACAGCAGGTGATCAGTTCAACTGTTTCTACTTAGAATAATCAACTTCTGCAACTAGGGCTACAAGGATCGAATTGAACAGCACTGATCGTATCTGGTACGTCAATACTCCCAAAAAGAAAAACAGAAGAACCGCAGTAGAACAGATAAGTTATACATAAAGACACATGTGAATGGAACCTTGATTTTCAGGTAAACACCTCGGATGTCTCTCACATGAACAACAATTCAGGAGTCCCATTTCAAAGTCACCCTCAGCTTTTCCACCTGAGAAGATCGGAGTTCACAAGTTAGGTCCTGATCCATTTTTTATTTGCTTCTTTTTATTCCATTATGTTGCAATACAAGCCATGGTCAACATTCCAATGCTTGGATTTGAAATTGACATTTTTTAAAAGCAAAACCACAAATGAGGAGCAAATTTCAGATTTAAACAAACAAAGGAGATTAAAAGATTATTTCAAAGTGGTGTCTACCTCAAATGCAGACATTTACCTGTAACAAAAGATACATTTTACAAGAAACTTTGGTTCACTTTCAGCTAACGCCTGCGGCACTAATTGCCAACTTTTCAAAAGAAGACACAAAATTACCAACTACAGTAAGTTGTTTGTGTTGCCATAAATAAGCCTTTTGCTAACGTTCTGGAACCATTGTTTGAGGTAAGAGTACAACTCAGGGTCTTCGAAACAAGAACAACTTCAAGATAAATGTTTCGTGAAATGTTGAGAGCAGCTGCTGTGCCTGTGACAAAATAAAAAGACAGGGTTTTTAGTATGACAGAAGTTAAGTTTAGGTCAGACTTGTTTTGTGGCAACTGCAATTGAATGAAAATATCAGAATGATGGCAGGTTCAGTTTAAAATCAGTCTGATACTTTAAGCAGAAAAAAAACATCATGTTACACCCTTGGTTAATTAGGTTAAGCAGATGCCCTGTTTTTTTTCAAATAAAATGCCCAGGTATTTACTTTGTTAAAAAGAGTTTAATAAACATAAATCATAAGATGTTGACATTTTGCTATTTCACCATCCTAAAACAATCCTGTACCTAAAGTCAAACGCCACAGTAGTCAAAACCTGATATACATGTTTCCAACTTTTACAAGGGATAAATGGTCTCCAAATGTTGAAAAAAAATCATTACACGTAGAAATCTCCCCTTTTTCCAGGGTAACTAAAACCTCAAGACAAACTTATTCAAATATTTGCCTCTTGTAAAAACCACCAGAGTCACCTTTTGCTTAACCCCGTGCATGCGACTGTAATCAGTGTTGCCGTAACAACCAAATGTTATCGTGTGTGTCGCGCGCACGACCCAAGTACAAGCGTGTACTCCCTCCTCTCCCATGTCGCAGACTGGTGCCAATTTAAATGTCAAGACCAATATCAACAAACCTGCCGACTGTTACTGCCATAAAAACCAACAGTTCTGAAATCATTAAAAATGAAATGCATTGAAAACGACAGAAACTAAACCAATTCTACACTGGTCTAAGGTGTGTTTGCATATGTGTGTGCATGCGTGCATACATATATGTGTGCATGTGCAAGTTGCACAAAAATAATATGATGCACTATAAGCTTGTAAATGACATCATAATTACCATGACAACCTACCAAACAATAACATATCAGCTGAACCAATGCTACTAGAACCCTGGGGTTTAGGAATGAATGGATCAGAGCAAAAAGGCTTGAAGAATTTTATGGGCAGAACTTTGATCTTGGTCCCTTGTGGTGAAACCGATTACCGAGCACACTACTAAACACTACATTCAGCGGAATATCAATCTTCCACTGAATAACAACATCAGCTGCCTTTTCCGGAGCATGCAAATGAACAATATTTCATAACCATTATGTTCAAGATTACCTTAAAATGAAATATTTCAACTGTTTCACCAGAAAATCCAGCTAGTTTTTTCTTTCACTGAAGACTCCTTCATATACAGACCTAAGCAATTAGATGCCTAAGTACAAAGTGGTTTAAGATTAGGATCTCTGAATCTGAAAAGGTTTGTTTCCAGACAGTCTTAACATTACTTGTATGCAGGAGTTCAAAAGTACAGCTGAGGAAAGGCAATCACTTCAATTGGATATTTTCTATTTGATGCTTCAAGTCAGACTTCGTTTTATGCTTTGCCCATTGAAGCAGATCAACAAAAAGACTTCTTTTCCAATCAACATCAACTGCCTAAGATGAACCAGTCTGTACTCTTAATGCAGAGCCAGTCACATACATGCCTCTGCTGTTCTATATATATATCTGCTTACATTAATTACATTAATTACATTAACTAAAATATTGCTTGCCATTAGCAAACCATCTTTTGAATTATTTTGTTGATTCAATGTGCTATTTTTTTAATACACTATACAGCTAACAAAGAGCACAATTAAAAAAAACACTTCCAAACACAAGTCCCTGTTTTTTAACAGTATGTAGTACAAACCAATGCTGCTTATAACAGCATTTCACAGAAAGATTTTTAGTTGCCAAATGTCCTCTACTTTTCTTTTTCAACAAACATTACCCCAAAGCCAACTCTTAAATGACCTCAGACATGGTCCCCGGACAAGGTGCCTCGTTTAGTCTCATTAAAGTCAATTTGTGCCTCTACTTAAAATTTCAACACATCACTAGAATAACCCTGGAAGTACACATATTACGATATTTGTTGATTTTACTCATTAAATTGGCTCTAATAATGTTCAGTCACCATTTTAGTGAAAATAACCACTTGAATCTGTCAGTAGTTGTGGAAAAGTGCCGTCACAGGCTGGCAACTTGTGCCTCCTTGTTCCATTCAAGTGTCAGTTTGACTATGAATAGAAATATGTCCTGAAACAATGTAAGTGAAAAATAGCACCAAAATTGATGACAGTCACACGTAAATGCCCTGACACAAGCGTCAACGCGGTAACTCGGTAACTCGCAGAGGTCCCCAGTCATATTCAAGTGACAACACAAATGACACGTTAAATTTTGACAAAAACAATTGACACACAGATTTTGACAAAAACAATGACTCAAGAATTCTGATAATATTTTAGGTCCCCAGGCCTCAAGTAGCTTTACACACACACAATTTGACATAAATCAAAATACAAAAGATTCTATGAAAATATACAGGAACGAAAGAAAGACCAATTAATGCTGATAAGTAACGGACGCTTGTCCATGCAGACCCCCCCCCCCCCCCCGACAACATATATATATCTGAACCAAGGGTCACATGAGGTCAAATATTTTCCTCTGTCCATAAAAATCACCATGGCAACAAAACCCACCACAGAGTCCCATTTATTTTATTTGAATCCAAGTTCTTTACAAATGCTCATCAGATCATGTTGTTGATGGCAAAGCCCCATTCATTTTGTTGCCATGACAACTGCCTTCTACCCAGGTATTGCTGGTATTTTTTTGTTCAATCTTTTACATTTGAAAGCAATACAATTTATGATTGGGTACTTAAAATACATCAACATCTGAACTACATCAAAGGATTTATCTTCAAAATATAGTGGGATATCAAGATATTGGTTTATCATCACAAACTATCATGCTTTGTTTTAAAGAATGGTTATCCTTGCCTACAACTTAGATTTTCAAGAAAAATAGGTTGATGAGGATGAGATAATGGAGACTTGGTTTTTGTATAACAAAGATCAGTATCAAAGAACATTTTGCTATGAAGCTAGTAGAGACCCTGACACATAAGGGCGATGATATCAACAAAGGCAGCCTTTCACCAATTCTACTTCCTATCACGGGTGCATAGTCCGTTCACATTAGAAAAGTAAACCCTGATAAAACCTCGATCAGCCCTTAACCGCAGTCCAAATTGCCAGTGTGAATGGGGTAAAAAATCTGGGAATGGTTTTAACTAGGGAGGGTTTTTTAATCAGGATAAAGTTAACAACCTGGCCTCTGGTTCTATCTGAGAAACCACCTGTTACACCTGCAGTCCACCTGTTACCTTGATCTTCTCTACCTGGTATATTGGGAAA